GGGGGAGGAGGGGGCAAAGCCGCTTCTGCTGTGGGGGCCTCGGGGGTGCTCAGGAGAGGGGAGAAGAGCCGGGCAAACGCAGAAGGCTGTTAGGCCCGGCACTTACTGCTGCTGACGGTAGGCAAGAGGTTGCATTGTGAATCCAGACACGCTGCCTAAAATCCGCGTTTGCACTGTGGTGGGCAAGATGCGTGCCCTCCCTGGTGCCTGTGGTGGAGTGGAAAGAACATAAGACGCTGTCGTGTGCCAGATAGCGCAGCGGCTCTCATGCAAAAGAAGCCGCCCATGAGCAAAACTCGCACTGGGTCTTGTTAGGCGTATGTATGAAATACCAAATAAGGCATTTTATTTCTTAGCCCTAATGACATGGTGTGTCACTACTATTACAATGATTCAGCTAGTCTATGGAATGTAATATACGTGGATGGAAGCCTGGGTGGTTACCCTTCTCTGCTGGTGAAGACTGATGTGTTGAAGTACGGAGGAATGATGCTTCTGTTACAGCGGGGGATATTTTCACCACCTTTCAAATATTTAGTTGTTCTCCCCTGTCAGGAGGATGACGCAGAACAGATTAACCCTACTCCATCCGTAGAGAAGTTCTAGGCACCTATCATTCACAATTAAATAGGTTGTTTTCTAAGAAAACAACGAGTTTCGGGGATGACTGTCCTTTGTTCTGCTGCCTTAACAATACTGGCATCCATTGGTCTTTTTAAGTTTTTTAAATAGTTGGAGAACGCAGTTGTTTGGGATTGTTAAGAAAGCAGCTCAAGTGACCAGAGCTCCTAAGAGGTGCTGGAACAACAAGTATTCCTTCCAAACTTAAATTTGAAAAGGTTTTGCAGTTAAAGCAGAATTAGTCTTTTGTCTTGCAGTTCTCTTAATGAATTTCGTTTCCAAATTTGGCACAGTTGCTCTCTGGAGGACAATTGAATTTTCTAGGTCATTTCCCAGATGAAGTAACTTGTTGGTTTTCCAGAAATTTATATTAAATGATTCACAGCTCGATATGTGGAATCGAGCAAATTAAAATCAAGTATTTCTCTTTAAGAGGTGTAAAATCAAGTGGCTGGAGCACAGCGCGTTCTGGCCCACCAGCATATTTGCCCCATGCTACCTGGATGTTGAACCTGCATGAAACACTTCAGCGGAGCTAATTGCTTTTGGAGAAGAATTTGCAAGCTATGCTTGCAGATGATGTCACAAAATCTGACCGTGCTGAGATACAGGTAGCTGAGCAGAGTTCAGACACAGGCTGTCACTTCCCCATCCATGAGCTGGCACAGAGTGGATGCATAGCTGTACAACAGAGGAAGAGATCAAGTGAATCTGTGCTTAGAGCCAGTGCACTTGGCCTTCTGCGCCTGTGGTGCTGAGTTGAGACGGTCTCGTGGGACAGCGTGGTGGAGTTCTTCAAATCATATTACATTCACACTGGGTTTGCACTTGAATTGTTTAGTTTATGTCTTACCTTGTTCTCATTTCCTAGCTGTGATTTATATCCTAGCCTTGTTCTAGTTTCCCTGTCCTGCCATATGTAGCAGGCTCTGGATGTGTTTATATTCTTCTTCCTCGGAGCTGTAATTAGAAGTGCTCTGAGCACGTGGCTGACCTGCCCTGAGCTGAACGTGCTGTACCTGCTGTTGTCATTCCTCCTCCCCCTTAGCATGGCATGGCCTAACAAAGGAAGGAGCTTGTCCTAGATAGAAAAAAACAAAGCCATTTTTATCTTTAAATTCATAGGAGAGCCCAAAGAACCAAACTTGCGCATGTCAAATGATTACAGAAAAGGGATGGAAATCTAGGAGCGTCTTCAGAGGCTCTGTTAATTAGCCGTCTCTGAGGTGAGAGAGCCGTTTTCCCAATGGGCAGGCAGTCAGATTTTCCAGGGCTGCTGCTAGAATCAGCTTTCC